AATGCCCCTTACTGCAGATCAAATGTAATAGCTTCCAGGTAGGGAGGCTAAAGAGGTCCTTAGCAAGCTCAATGAGGAACCGACAATTTCCCCCATACGGGGCTATTCTCAATTTCCTAACCTGTCTGATACTCTTAGGATCTTGAGTAGTGTCTGCTCTTGAAAAGCAGAGGCCCCTGAGAATTAATTTCGCCCCCAATCAAAATAGAATTATACCAGATTATTCTCTCCTGTCAACTTGGTCCTGGGAATACGCTTGTCCGCTGCCCCTTTGTCATGTTTCCTGGGCAACTGCATTGCTCAAATCACTCTGGCACAGGGGTTTCATTGGAAGGCCGTTAGTAAAACCACAGTGGGCCCTTGGGGTCCATGAACCCATGAAATTGGGTATGTAGACTCTGTTTACATATACATCTTTCTGGGGCCAGAGTTTCAAAGACTCTGAGATTGTCAAATCCTTGGTTAAGACCCTGCAGTGAAAGGGTAAAGAAACCGCCCAACTGGGAAGACTGCCGTGCATGCTAAATGGCGATAGTGGAAGTGCTTGGGAACTTTTAAAAATCACTTATGATGCATAAGAGACGTAACACAAATCATTCAAAGGAATGATACAGTAGACTGATCGAGGCCTCCCAATAGCTGGACTGAGTTGCGTCCTATTCTGGCACAGCTTTTGCCCACTGGAGACAATGTATGATCGGCTTTTTCTTTGGTCGACAAAATTGCATTAAATGTCTATTTTGAAATAGTTTTTCTTCGTGTTCTTAATTTTCTTCCTAACTATGACGTCATGCAGGCCAGCCCAGAAAAACAGCATGCTTGGAAAGGGCAGCAACACGGCCCCTCGGTTTTACAGTGCAGAGACGAAGCGCTCAATTCTGCACTGAGGCAACGCAGCAGTGTATAATCCTGATTTAGATCCTCCTTCTTAAAAAGGGATTTAACTATAAAACGAGTATTTCCCTACCTATTGAAAAATTCTCAAAATGATCTTGGGAAGACTAACACTGCACTATCAAAAAAAATACAGTATATGATTTTCAACTTTAGTAGACAAATTCAGTCATTTTTAAAAAAAATACAATTTGTAGTTTTTAAGTACTTTTTCTCAACATTATTCGATTTATTGTTGAGTCATGAAATTTATGTCTGAATTTGTCTTTGTTTGTTTTTTTTTTTTCGACCAGAGTCTCATCTTGTTGCCTGGATAGAGTGGCCGTGGCATCAGTCCTACCCACAGTCAACGGCTCACATTCCCGTCAGCGATCTTTGCTCAGTCTTCTCCAGTAGCTATTGGATGCGCCATCCATGCCGCCATTTTTCATAGTCTAATTTAGTCCATTAATTCTCTTCTTTTCTTTTCGAGACACAGCTCTTGCTTTGTTCCAGGCTAGAGTGGAGGCCATGCGTCAGCCAGCTCACAGCAACCTCAAACTCCTGGCTTCAAGCAATCCTCTGCTCAGCCTCCCGAGTAGCTGGACTCACAGGCAATGCACCACCATGCCTGCTAATTTTTACTTACATATTACGTTCGTGCCCAATTATTTCTCTTCCTATTATAGTATACACAGGCGTCTCACTTCTTGCTCAGGCTGGTTTTCGTAAACCTCCTGAGCCTCGGAGCCATATCTGCCCTTCTTGGCCTCCCAGAGGCTAGATTACAGGCGTGAGCCACCCGCCACACTGAATTTGCTTTTCAAAGGCACTGGCATTTACTGTATTTTTTGGCATTTATGTTCTTAGAATGAATGCAAATATTGTAATTTCTTTCTATCACATTTCTAGGTATTTCTGCACTTTCTATTAAACAGCTTAACTAGCAGCTGCACCTCCCTACCAGAGAAGAGATCTGAATTACCGATATTGGAGGCTTGATAAAATGATCCTAATTCACTCTACTTTTCATAACATCCTCTGGCAAACATTTTATAACAGCTGCTCAGAAGACTGGTACTTAAAATCAGCAATCTCAGTTTTGTACCCCTTTTTTCCTACTGGGTTTGCGTATCAACTTAGGAAACTGCTTCTAAACTTTGACACGCTAGGGGGACAGCTTTTTCTTCGGCTCTACCCATAACATAAGAGCCCTCAGGAGACAGGGCCACCATGCCCAGCTAATTTTTTCTATATATTTTTCGTTGGTCAATTAATTTCTTTCTATTTTTGGTAGAGACAGGGTCTCACTGTTGCTCAAGCTGGTTTCAAACTCCTGACCTTGAGCGATCCTCCCGCCTCAGCCTCCCAGAGTGCTAGGATTACAGGTGTGAGCCACCGCACCTGGCCTTGGTTAAGATTCTTAACTGCTCTGAGCCTGGGTTGCCTTGTTGGTGATACAAGGATGATCTCTTCATCATAAGGCAGCCCTGGGGTTTAACAACCATTGCAGCCTCACGTGGTGGCACACTTGTGTAGTCCCCGTTACTCAGAGGCTGAACCAGGAGGATCACTTGAGCCCAGGAGTTTGATGCTGCAGTGAATTATGATTGGGCCATTGCACTCCAGCCTGGGTGACAGAGCAAGATCCTGTCCTTAAAAAACCAAAAACAAGGCCAGGCTTCGTGGCTCACGCCTGTAATCCTAGCTCTCTGGGAGGCCGAGGCGGGTGGATTGCTTGAGGTCAGGAGTTTGAAACCAGCAAGAGCGAGACCCCCGTCTCTACTATAAATAGAAATAAATTAATTGGCCAACTAATATATATAGAAAAAATCAGCCGGGCATGGTGGCGCATGCCTGTAGTCCCAGCTACTGGGAGGCTGAGGCAGAAGGATTGCTTGAGCCCAGGAGTTTGAGGTTGCTGTGAGCTAGGCTGACACCACAGCACTCACTCTAGCCTGGGCAACAAAGCCAGACTCTGTCTCAAAAACAAAAACAAAACCAAAACCAACCATTGATGGGGCATGTAAAATGCCTGGCAAAGGGTTAGAACTCAGCTAATATTAAGGTTGCCCAGCCTGTTGTTTGATAGAATTCTAGAATGCCACAACCTATCAGTCTGGCCACCCCACCCCCAATATGACAAATGAGACCATATAGCTGAGCCCTATTCAGTAAACTGTGGTTGGGTTCAGCTGTACCTTCCAAATCCTTTGATTTGGGGTCCTCTGGAGTCTGAAAATGTAATTAACTATTTGGAAGTCTCTGTCCCAAGTTCTCTGCAAAAATCCTTTTTCCTCAGGGACCACCCAGGGTGAGTGGCAGTTCAGCTCTCAGGGAGCCTCCTAAGGGATGGATAAAGCCCACAGAGGAAGGACATTCAGATGGAGCTGAATTCTTGAAGCCCAAGGAAAATGGGCTAGGATGGTCAATTTCAGAACACCTGGCTGGGCCCCAGAGGCCAGTGTGTGTACCTCTCCCATTGGAGATTGGAGGTGTGGCCTCCACATACCCTCATTGCCCAGAGGCACCGCTGAGTTCCCAGACTAATCTTTTCTTTGGATATGATGCTTGCTATTCATAAAATGCCCTTCCCCATGCCACTTTCCCAGAAGAGTCTTCATCCTTCAGAGCCAGCCAGGAAGTCACTTCCTCCATGACACCTGTCCTCAATTTCCAACTCCCAAGCAGCTTGGCTCACAAGTTTTTCCTCACTTGCCATTTTGGCTCCAGGTGGTTTGATGGCCTCTCCACACAGTCCAGGAGCAACCTGAAGGCAAGGATGCCATTTTATTCATCTTTGTGCCCTCCTAGTAAATGTTAGCCAAACAAAGAAATGCAGGTTGAATTAGGTTGAAGCAACTGGGAATGAGAAGGAACTAAATACAGAGTTCTTGAAAAAAGGGACGATTTAGTGTTTGTGACAAAGAAAAAACACCACTTAGTTGCTATGACTTGCACAAGTCACTTAATTTCTGCAGTCTTGGAGTTTTCTTTCTTTTGTTTGTTTTTTGAGATAGAGTCTCCTCTGTTGCATGGGCTAGAATGCAGCCTAGCTCACAGAAACCTCAAACTCATGGGCTCAAGCGATCCTACTGCCTCAGCCTCCCAAGTAGCTGGGACTACAGGCACAGTACCACCATACCCGGCTAATTTATTCTATTTTTAGTAGAGACAGGGTCTCACTCTTGCTCAGGCTGGTCTTGAACTCCTAACCTTAATTGATCCTCCTGCCTCGGCCTCTCAGAGTGCTAGGATTACAGGTGTGAGCCACGGTGCCCGGCCATGGAGGTTTCTTATGTCTAAAATGGAGACAATAATTTACATCCTGCCTAACTCACAGGGCCGTGGAGGGGTCAAACGGGGCGTACACTGAAAGAAAGTTGTGGAGTGCAAATCGGCTGGATTGTAAGGGATTGATGTCAAGGAAGAAATAAGCATAGGTCACTGACTCGGTGTGGCGAGAGGAAGACGGTGGAGATGACGCCATGATTTTAGGCCTAAGTGACTGGAGTGGAGGGTTCTCTGAGTCCTCGCAGTCCCTGTCCTTTGGGCACGGGCTTCTAGTCTGGAAAATTTCTCTCAAAGGAGACTGTGGCCCTACCCATGACTCTACCTCATGGTCCTGGGCCCGAATCCTCTGTCCCCAACTTTCGTCTTGCACAAGGCCCACTGATGAGGAGGGGCATCTGTGGATGCTACCGCCTCGCCTCTTGGATAGCCAGGGTTAATTATTCCAACTCATCATTATTTCGAGCCCCTCCCCAACAAACAGGCCGACTGACTGGCCCGAAACCCCTCCCTCCCCCCGTTTATGAAATACTCCTGGTCGAAGATACCAACTAGGCCCCAGGAGGCCATTTTCTTCGACAGAAGCCGAGGCCGGGGCAAAGCCGTCACCCCCACCCCCACGGCTCGCCTTCTCCCAGGAGAGCCCCTCTGTCGCGGATCACCAGTTTGCATTGGTCCCTGAGGCGGAGGCGGCTCTCAGAGATCTAGCAGCGGCCGAGCCACCTTCCCCTGAGGGTCCCAAAGCTAGTTCCGGGGTCGCCGTCACCTGGGACTCGAACCGGCCCTTTGGTCTCCCGAGGCCTAGTCCAAGTCTGCCGCACTAAACGAAGTCATACTGTCCCTTTAAGACGGCACTTTTTATTTTTCATTTGTTTACTTCTTCTTGCGCTTTTCTTTTTTTACAAAAATGTGATCAAGTATCCTTCCGCAAATGTCAGCCGCAGGCACTCACCACACGCCTTGAAGCCATTAATGTCAATTTAAGAATCTAGAGGTAGAAGCCATGAGCCAACATCTCTTTTTATAGGATTTAATCCTCTTTTACACTTTAGGGACTACTTTTTAGGAATAAACCATTTTTGCTTTAGTTAACACAGGTTTGTGACCTTCAGAACTCTTCCGCGGAAGACAGAATACGATAATAGCCTTTACAACGCACCTTTCCATAAAAATATTCTGTGTGTGCTCTCACAGGCCATCGAATCTTCTGGTATTCCTGAAACAGAATGGTATGGTCCAGAACCCGCCCCATTTTCTCTGCGATTGGTCTTCCTTCCTCTACCGGGCGTGTGACTCTTGACCAATGGTCGCTCACGTTTCTTTAGCGAGGGCTAAGCGACAGAAGGCGGTGGCCTTGGAGACGCCCCCTACGCGTACTGCGATTGGCTACGTCGCACGGCGCGCGAGGACGGCGGGCCTGAAAGATGAGAACTACGACTCCCAGCTTCCCGCGACGAGAACTCCGTTACGCATGCGCATGGGCGGGGCGTACAGGCTTCTTTATAAAAGGGGCGCAGAGGCCTGGGAGGCAGCAGTTGGAAGTTGGCAGGTGGAAAGGCAGGTTGGGGGGGAAAGTCGGGGGAGGAGGCGGAAGAGGAGCTGTCGGAAGGGGGAGGAGGGAGGGAGGAAAAGAGGAGGAGGCGGAGGAGAACTGAGCTGAGCAGAGCATCGAGCCAAAGGGGAGATGAGTTTGTCTGTCCTCGGCTGAGGCTCCGGCCGGGCCTAGGGAACTGGGAACTCGGGCTTGAGCGACACCCGTGGAAGTGGGAGGAGGTGGCTCTGGGACTTTAACCCCTTGTGGGCTCTGCGGCAGGGGATTTAACCCTTTGTGGATTTGGCCCCTCGGAGGCAGCGTCATCGGTAGTTTTAACCCCTTCGGGGCTGGGTTTAACCCGTTGGACTTAACCCTCATCACCTTGCTCACCAACTCCTCGATCTTGGGGACGCTCTGCGGGGAGGCTTGAGGCCCACCCCCTCCGCACATTACGTACTGTTCCTGCGCTGCACCCCCTTGGACCCTCTTGCTGGCCGCGCTGTGGGCGCTTAACCCTTTGCTGACGCGAGCTCCCCAGGTTGCAATTGGAGTTTGCTGACGGAAGGACTGGCTAAAGGAATCGCTGCTGGTATCACAAACTGAAGAGGACTCTGCTGGACATTTTTTTTTTTAAAGAAAAATCTTTTTTCCTTAAGGACTTACTAGCCAAAATTTCTTAAACTTCGAGAAGAGGACTTCACTAGCCATGGCCGAGCCACTCTTGTCAGAATATCAACACCAGCCTCAAACTAGCAACTGCACAGGTGCTGCTGTTGTCCATGAAGACAGGAACCCTGAGCGCCCCCCAGGCGCGGAGGAGCGGGTGCCCGAGGAGGACAGTAGGTGGCAATCGAGAGCGTCCCCCCAGCCGGGTGGCCCTCCAGGGCTAGAGGGTGAAGGGAGCCTGGAGCCCCATCCACCTCCCCTGCAAACCCAGGCCCGTTCAGAACCGAGCTGCCTGGAAGCAGGCGAGATGGGCCAGAATGGGGACGATTTGTCCGCTGATGGCGACTCCCCGCCAGCGGCGGGAGGGGAACCGAGGCCCGAGGCCGAGCCGATTGCCCAGCCTCGTCATGACTCTGAGGCCAACAAGTTGGGGGCTCCTGCTGCAGGGGGCGAGGAGGCGTGCGGACAGCAGCAGAGACAGCTGGGCAAGAAAAAACATAGGAGACGCCCTTCCAAGAAGAAGCGGCATTGGAAACCGTACATCAAGCTGACCTGGGAGGAGAAGAAAAAGTTCGATGAGAAACAGAGCCTGCGAGCTTCGAGGATACGAGCCGAGATGTTCGCCAAGGGCCAGCCGGTCGCGCCCTATAACACCACACAGTTCCTCATGGATGATCACGACCAGGAGGAGCCGGATCTTAAAACTGGCCTCTACTCCAAGCGGGCCGCCGCCAAATCCGACGACACCAGCGATGAGGACTTTATGGAAGAAGCGGGCGAGGAGGATGGGGGCAGCGACGGGATGGGAGGGGACGGCAGCGAGTTTCTGCAGCGGGACTTCTCGGAGACTTACGAGCGGTACCACGCGGAGAGTCTGCAGAACATGAGCAAGCAGGAACTCATCAAAGAGTACCTGGAGCTGGAGAAGTGCCTCTCGCGCATGGAGGACGAGAATAACCGGCTGCGGCTGGAGAGCAAGAGGCTGGGCAGCGACGACGCGCGTGTGCGGGAGCTGGAGCTGGAGCTGGACAGGCTGCGCGCCGAGAACCTCCAGCTGCTGACCGAGAACGAACTGCACCGGCAGCAGGAGCGAGCGCCGCTTTCCAAGTTTGGAGACTAGACTGAAACTTTTTGGGGGAGGGAGCAAAGGGGACTTTTTACAGTGATGGAATGTAACATTATATACATGTGTATATAAGACAGTGGACCTTTTTATGACACATAATCAGAAGAAAAAATCCCCCTGGCTTTGGTTTCGTAAATTTATGATGTAGCTTGCGTGCTTTCTCCTGTTCTTTAATTATGTGAAATTGAAGAGTTGCTTTTCTTATTTTCCTTTTTAGAATTTTTTAAATGTGAAAGTAATTTGACCAAGTTATAATGCATTTTTCTGTTTTAAAAACATCCCCTCCTTAAACGGAGCTATAAGGTGGCCAAATCTGAGAACCATTAAATTCATTTTAGTTATAATAAATTTAATATTTGTAAATGTAACATAGTTTCAGTGTGATTTCTAGAGCTAATTCAAAATAGTATTGATTTTATGTGATTGCATTTTTGGGGAAGAGAAATCTTAAATTTGTCAGCAAAAATGCCAATCTCGAATGGGAGAATTTTCAATTTGCTGATTTTTTCCTTGAATGGGTTTTAGTATGCTATAATATACAGTTCAGGCAAAATATAAAAATTTAATTATCTTCAATACTTAAGTGTGCTTGCTTTTTAGTGCCTTGGTTTTCTTCATGCTGGAAAAATAAACCAGTGTCGGGTGTCTGGGGGAGTGGAAGGTGGCTACAATCATAAGTTTAAAATTTAATAATTCTGCCTCTCGGCCATTCAAAAGTCTAATAAAAAAATATAAAGCTAATTTGTCAATCTGTTAGGTTAGACAGCTTGTCAGCCTGATTTCATTCCTACAAGTTGGTTTTCAGTAAATCTCTTCTTCCCTCCTCCAATAAGGCTGGAAGGAGTTCCGATGCCTGGAAGAGGTTCTTGCTAAACCTCTTGATTCTTAGTGCAAGCAATGGTTAGACTAGATAAATTTGTGGGGCAGCTCTGTATGTTAAGATGTCTAGAGGTAGGGAATATTGGATTTATAAAGGAAATGAGGATTCCAAAGATTTACCCTAATTAATTTTCTAATACTTAGTGCTTTTATACAAAAAAAAAAAAAAAGTATAGGTACTATCCACTTTTCCATGTGGGTCAAACTAAAATTAGAAATGCCCCCCCCACCACCAGTCTACGGCCATACCACCCTGAACGTGCCCAATCTTGTCTGATCTTGGAAGCTAAGCAGGGTCAGGCCTGGTTAGTACTTGGATGGGAGAAATGCCTCCTTACTGCAGATCAAATGTAAAGCTTCCAGGTAGGGAGCTAAATGAGGTCCTTAGAAGCTCAATGAGGAACCCGACACATTCCCCATACAGGGGCTATTCTCAATTTCCTAACCTGTGCTGATAGCTGCTTAGGATCTTGAGTAGTTCTGCTCTTGAAAAGCAGGGAGGCCCTGAGAATTAATTTCTGCCCCCAAATCAAAATAGAAATTATAAGATTATTCTCTCCTGTCACTTGGTCCTGTGACATAGCCTTTCACCTGCCCTTTGTCAGTGTTTTCCCTAGGGCAACTGCATTGCTCAAATCACTGGCACAGGGGTTCATTGAGGCCTTAGAAACCACAGTGGGCCTTGGGGGTCCATGAACCCCATGAAATTGTATGTAGACTTGTGTTACATATACATCTTTCTGGGGCAAGGTTTCAAGAGACTCATGAGATTGTCAAACTCCTTGTAGGTTAAGAACCCCTGCAGGAAAGGGGTAAGAAACCCGCCCACTGGGAAGACTGCTCGTGCAGCTAAATGGCGATAGTGGAAGTGCTGGGAACTTTAAAATGCACCTTATGATGCATAAGGAGCGTACACAAATCATTCAAGGGAAATGATACCAGTAGGACTGAATCAGGGCCTTCAAAGCTGGACTGAGTTGGTCCTATTCTGGCACAGTTGGTCCACTGGAGACAATGTATGATCGCTTTTTTCTTTGGTCTAAAAATTGCATTAAATGTCTATTTTGAAATAGTTTTTCTTCGTGTTCTTAATTTTTCTTCTACTATGACGTCATGCAGCAGCCCCAGAAAAACAGCTGCTTGGAAAGGCAGCAACAGTGCCCTCTGGCTTTACAGTGCAGAGCAGAAGCCTCAATTTGCACTGTAGGAAGCAGCAGTGATAATCTGATTTTAGATCCTCTTCTTAAAAAGAGGGATTTAACTATAAAGATGTTATTTTCCCTACTATTAGAAAAATTTCTAAAATGAATCTTGGGAAGACTAAATGCATCTATCAGAAAAAAATACAGTATATGTTTTAACTTTTAGTAGACAAATTCAGTCCATTCTTTAAAAAAATACCAATATTTAGTTTTAAGTAATTCTCATACATTACTTCGATTTATGTTGAGTCATGAAAATTTATGTCTGAATTTGTCTTTGTTTGTTTTTTTTTTTTTTGACAGAGTCTCACTCTGTTGCCTGGGATAGAGTGCCGTGGCATCAGCCTAGCCCACAGCAACCTCACATTCCCCGGGCTCAAGCGATCCTTCTGCCTCAGCTTCCCAAGTAGCTGGGACTATAGGGATGCGCCACCATGCCCGGCTAATGTTTTCTATATATATTTAGTTGTCCAATTAATTTTCTTCTTTTCTTTTCGAGACACAGTCTTGCTTTGTTGCCCAGGCTTTTTTTTTTTTTTTTGTTTTGTTTTGTTTTGGAGATAAGGTCTTACTTTGTTGCCCAGTCATGAGGGAAGTCGTGTGATCATATAGCTCACTGCAATGTCATACTCCTAGGCTCCAGTGATCCTCCTGCCTCAGCCTCCCGAGTAGCTGGGACTACAGGCTCACACCACCACAAACAGCTAATTTTTCTGTTTTTTTGTAGAGATGGAATCTTGGTATGTTGCTCAACCTGGTTTTGAACTCCTGACCTCAAGGGATCCTCCTGCCTTGGCCTCCCAGTGTTAGGATTACAGGAGTGAGTCACTGCACCCCACTGGGAGGATCACTTGAGGCTAGGAGTGCAAAGCCAGCCTGAGTAACATATCAAGACCCTGTCTCTACAAATAATAAAATTAGAAAAATGAGCCAGGTGTGGTGATGCATGGCTATAGTCCCACCTACTTCAGAGACTGAGGCAAGAGGATCCCTTGAGCCTAAGAGTTTGAAGTTGCAGTGAGCTATGACTGTGCCACTGCACTCCAGCACAGAGCGAGACCCTGTCTCTAAATGAATAAATAAACTATTGGTAATTACTGGTTCTGCTTAAGGCCACAGCAGTTCTCATTTCATCAGTATTTTAATTTTCACTTCATTCAAAATAAAACAAAAATCCTTTGCTTGAGGAAATGTAAATAAATATACTTTGCCCTAATGATTTTGAAAGTTAGAGAAACCAAAGAGGGATTCCACAGAATTAAAAAACAAAATCTACAACCGAATAGTCTATCTTCAGAAAAATCAAAGGCTAGCTACATTTAGTCAAATGTGAGATCATATATTACAGCCTTTCCCCTGGCCACTTACACTCATAACAGTTGGCAACAAATATTCATAATCGTGTGGTGGAAAAGTTGGCTAACGTTAAGACAGTACTTGTACCTAAGTACTTAAGTACACTTGAGTTTGTGGGGGTTTTGTTTGGGTTTTTTGGGGGGAAAGAAAGTAACTCTTTTTCATATTGGCACAAGATTATTGGAATAAAAATTCTACTTTATTATTCCTTCTCATGCAATGGTTGATGCTAGAAATGAAAGGTAATTTTTAAAAGAAAGAAAATGTCAAATTCAGGCCCTTAACACTATGAAACTGATGTCTAAAGGATAACAGTCATACTTAGCAAGTGGCACAAAATATATGGTCCAAGAGGCAAAGATTCAATCTTTGGCCAATTTTTGCCAGGTGTCTTTGAATATTGGAAAGCTTTACCACCTCATTTTGTTTCTTCCTGATAAAACAAAGGCTGGGTTGAGACAGATCAATAATTTAGCTCTCACAAATTCTCCTGAATAAACTTGGGTGTAAGAGGAGGTTCAATTACGACAAATGATACAACATGGGCAACAGCAAGAATAATCCTCATACTTTACTAATAAACCTTTGCACACCAACAAAATTCAAATGGTTGAACTGCTACAGGAAACTGTTGATAAGTTTTTTGAAATAGCTAATGTGATCTCTCCCTCAATGCAGCAAGAGCAGTTACATTTGACTTGGAATTTTTTTTCAAGAGTAAACATTCAGAAGGGAATTGTAAACTCTCATCTGAAACTATACTCTACATGAGATATCCACTGACTTTGTGTGAAGTACTGAAAAGCCCTGGGTCTACAGTGAGCAAAAAGTATATTCCTGAAGGAAAATGTCGGAGCTTTAGAGTGCTTCATACACAAGAATTTGAGAAAATTAACACCTCTCTTGTAATCTATTCAATAGAAATTGTCCTAGCCTCCAGAGGGTCAGAGGAAGAAATCAGGTTGGAGTTCTGACGCCTGCTGTACTTACTTATTTTTGAAGACAGGGTCTCTCTCTGTTGCTGGGGCTAGAGTGCAGTGATGGTGTCATAACTCACTGCAACATTAAACCCTTGGCCTCAAGTGACCCCCCTGCCTCAGCCTCCTGAGTACCTGGGGACTACAGGCACATGCCACCATGCCCAGATAGTTTTTAAATTTTTTTGTAGAGATGAGGTCTCCAACTCTTGGCCTCAAGCAATCCTCCCACCTTAGCCTCCCAAAGTGCTAGGATTACAGGCATGTGCCACTATTCCCAGCCCAAAGTCTGCTTTAAACATGTATTTCTACATATCTAGATAACCCCAAAACAATTTTCAGTCAAAGGCAAAATACCAAATTTAGGGATGAAGGGGAATATCTAATAGGTTAGTTCTATCTTCCTCTCTAGTTATTGCTAAAAATATGCTTAATGAAACAGCAAAACATTTGAACAATTTAAAAAGAGAAAAGATAGAGGGAAGATGGTAGCAGCTAAACACAGGAGCATAAAACATTCACTGGGAAAACCAAAGAGTTTAGAAGCAAGCATCTTCATCTTGAAGAGGAAGTATGCTATCAAGAATCACTCCTACCTCTGTCATGAATCCTATTCACACATCACTGGTCCCCAGGAGTTAGCTACCAGGCAAATGTAAAATGTCTCTGACTTCACAGTAAAAACTAACTGCTTGGCACCCTGAAAGATTGACTCTCATTAGGCCTACCTGAATAGCTACTCCTGTGCTGCTATGGACAACCAAGACCACAGTTGGGTAAGGCAGGCCTCCCAACTGGCCCAATAACCTTTGAAGCTGAAGTTGTGAAGTTCCCAAATAACAAAGTTATAGGGAGTAGATGTTTACATAGCAGCACTTGAGGAGTAGCTACGCCTCAAGGTATTTATGAGGGAGGCTGCACTGATACCATTTTCAAATTAGGAAACTGCTGCATAAGGTTTGTAGAATTTGTTACAAAGCACAAAGCAAATCATCTGAAAGAGGAGAGCTGAGAAGGAAGTTAAAGGTCTGGTTGAATATTAGATGAACAATAGACTCAGCAACAAAATGACCAGTTTGGCCTCATAGTATCTGGCCTCTAGCCAAGCCAACCAAGTCAGTGGCAGCACACAGCAATAGAGCTTGGAGTTCCTAATTTCCAGTCCTGTGTTTTGCTTAGAAGATAATCAGGAGATCATTAATAAACTGGTTTTATTCTCAATTTTTCTTATCAAGGAATGGAAAAGCTTATTGGTCAACTTTAAAGACAGTAAGATTTCATTTATAAATAAATTTCTGTACCTGGAACAGTATTCACCAATTAGTAGCATCCAAAGGTTTAACATTACTTCATAATGGAGAACAATGCCAGCGTTGGTGGTATAGTGGTGAGCATAGCTGCCTTCCATAATGGAGAACAAATCCCAAGAGTCTATCTCCCATTAAATTCTTCACAGAAGAACCACAGATAACTTCTAAAACCTCTTTCAGCTCCTATGACTGTCTAACTTCTACCAAGTTAGTGTGAGCTTTTCCTAACTGGCATCTTATCAGTGTAAACAAAAATCAACCTATGGTAAGAATCAAGTGTTCTGAAACTTCAGTTAAGAGTAAGTGGTTCAAATTTTGGATTAAGAACCCTAATCGATGATGATCCTGTTTTTGCAGTTCAGTTATAAGACTTAAATTTTAATTTTATTAAACCAGGCAGCCCCCTGAACCACAATAGGTTCAGAGAGACTCCTAGTTGTAAGACTTTCTCTGAGAACATCTGGGAAGCAGAGAGAAAAAACAGTTAAAGTTATGTGGAGTTGTCACTCTTACAACTGAAGAAAAATTACTTTAGTAATAATAGGACGAGGCTAGTCATAGTGGCTCACGCCTGTAATCCTAGCACTCTGGGAGGCCAAGATGGGCATATTGCTCGAGGTCAGGAGTTCAAAACCAGCCTGAGCAACAGTAAGATCCTGTCTCTACTATAAATAGAAAGAAATTAATTGCCCAACTAATATATATAGAAAAAATTAGCCGGGGTACGGTGGCGCATGCCTGTAGTTCTAGTTACTCTGGAGGCTGATGCAAGGGGATTGCTTGAGTCCAGGAGTTTGAGGTTGCTGTGAGCTAGGCTGACGCCATGGCACTCACTCTAGCCTGGGCAACAAAGCGAGACTCTTGTCTCAAAAAAAAAAAATAAATAATAGAAGGAGCAGGGCTTTAGTTCTGAAGAAACTTTCAAGGTTTTTGCTATTAAGGTCAAAGGCTTAGGAATGATTTAACTAACTGTGATTGGTAATGAGATGCACCACAAGGTACCCACAAAAATATAAAGTTCACTGCCACTCTCCTTCTTCAGAGCCTACCTAGGCATAATTTTAACTGGCATTTTAGCAACAAAACTTTTATTTGAAGATATTCCTGAGCCATAAATCTCTGGATTTAGATTTCAAGCAGTAGGAAACAAGATGGTTTAATTTGCAATTCAATAAAAGAACTTCACATCAAACTGCAATCTTTAAGAAGCTGCAGCTATAATTTGGGTTGAGTTTTATTCTTTTAAAGCGGGTCTCCCCCACCCCTAAATGCCACGTGTATGAAATAGATCAAAACTGCAATTTCTATTTTGGTGGCATCTAAGATCTACAGAAGTGATTTTCAATTACTTGGAACTTCAAAATTGAGTCTCCCTAGTAACAATGCACCAGTGGAACACAAAATACTCCCCCATTTTGTTTAGTTTGTGGGAGAAAATTGTTTAAACTGGATTTTGTAGTATTAAAAAGATAATATTGGAATTACTGTAGTTCGTTTTTCCTTCTACGAGGGCAGCCATTTCTCTAAAGTTTTGGTAAAAGTTAAGGCTCGGATTTCAAAATGTAAGCAGATGTTCACGAAGCATCCGAAATCGGCCACTCTATTTCTATTTCTGGGCTGTGGCGACTCAGAATTATTTTGTGTCCCAACCCTGTAAAGGGCAAAACTCCAAGTTTTGCCTTTAGTGTAAACTCTGAAGAGAAGTGGGACAATACACTTTAGGAGTTTCCTAAAGTGGCTGGTGACGTGCGAGATCAGGTCGTCAGAGAATTGGGGCTGGATGAGAGAGAACTTGAGGGCAAGAGGCTGAGAGACCTCCAAGCACTGGGCTCGTGAAGATTTCCACGTGCCCCTATCTGGCTGGTCCCAGGGGAATCGGTGGTTACTACGGTAGTTAGAAGGCGGCTGTTTCTTTTCGCAGCCCGGGAGGACGGTGTTTGGGGGGAAGAAGGTGGGTGCACGGGGCTCTCCGCCTTCAGAGCCTCCAGCTAACTGCCACGCCTGAGGGGCTTGTGGCCAAACCTGCGACCTCGGCCCTCCCCCGCGGCGCCAGCCTCTGGAATCTGGCGTCGCCCCCACCACGACGGTCGAGGTGGGAGTGCCGCCACGCTGGGCCTAGCCGCCATACACAGGCCGAATGGGGGCGGGGAGAGAAGTCTGCAGAGCTCGGCCTCAGGATCGGCACCCCTGTGGAAGGACGGCAGAGGGGAGTGGTTTTACCAGCCTCTACCCTGTTGGGGTCTCGGGAAACACGCGGTAATTGCCAACGAAAACCTCCCTCTGTGAGAGGCGAGTCTGCGGGGCTGCCGAGACGGTTTGAGGACTGGGGTTGGCCAGGGCGATTCCAACCTTCACCCTCCCCGGTCCCCGACCCCACTTCCCCGCCGTCTCCCAGCGCCGCCACTTCAGGCAGCCCACTCGGCCCGGCCTCTCCCCGCGCCCGGACCACCCCCCATGGGGTGCTCTCACTGCGCAGCGAGTCCCTCCGCTGCCTCCTCCCAGCCCAAAATGGCGGCGACGGCCACCGATCTTCTCGTCGCCTTCCTCAAGGCCTGAGGATCCCTCCGCGCTTAGGCCCCTCCCCTCTCCGCCGGATCTATTTTCTACCCGGTAAAGATTAACGCCATCAATGAACTTTTTAATTGAGCTCAGAGTAGGCGGGTCCCGATTGTGCTTCCGCACAGCTAATCGTTGACGAAAGTGAGAATATTGACGGACGATTTAGCCAATCAAAGGAGGAAGCCGTGCGCGCGCGATGCCACCCGCGCAAAGGTAGATGGGTTTTGGAGTTCTCATGTGTGGCTGCTGACGTGACAGGATCTTGGGCCGCTTTTCCAGGCTTGGAGAACTACAATCCCCGCTAGGCACCGCGTTGCCAGGCCGTCCCCTCCCCCTACCTTAGTGCCTAGAGCGGCTTGACCAGAGCTGCTGCAACTGCAGCGAGAGGTAGGGCTGAGGCGTTGGGATTCAAATGGCACAGACAGGCGGTCCACAGAAAGACACACAGATGTAGTCGTGTGCATAGCCCTGACAGCAAATAGGTTAGTTCCACCTTTGCAAAACCCATTCCCATGACTATTTCCCCTCTTCCAAGAAATCCATCCTTATCCCAGTTCGGTTTCCCTCCAAGCTGCATGTAGTACTAAGACGCCTTCCCTTTTCCTCTGTTTTCCACTCTGAGAGGAAGGAGGCAGACAGGCCAGCCCCGTAGAAGAAAAGGCCTCAGCCCTAGGCCTGGCCCAGGGCCCAACCATGCTTCTAGAGGCATTGCTTTCTGGATCCCAGCCTGGGAGGAGGCTGGGGGTGCAGGGCTGCAGTCCAGACTGGGGCTTCTGGAGGCAGTGGGAAAGGACTCCTAAGCTTGCTCCATGTTGTCTTGTCGGAAATACAGACCTGCTCCACTCCCAACTCCCCAGGCAGTGTCCTTTCCCCCTTGGGTTGAGGGAACAAAGCTGAGGTCTATTCCTAGTTGCCAGCCTGAGCCTCAGTGACTTTCACAGGATATAATCCCTGGCCTGGGGCCTAGGGAACAGGACTGGGAACATGGCGCCTTAATCCTGTTTGGCCCCTTGCTGGCTGGAGGTGTGAAAAACGGGGAGGTGTGAAAAGCAGGGTATGGAGGAAGCCCTCAGGGCCTTCATTTGAAAATGAGAGTGTACTGGTCTGGTGCTACAAAATGGCTGCCGCTTCCTGGGCAAACAATTGTGAGCAGCCAGAGTCTTCCTGAGAATTACTCAGGACTTAGGTTTCTGTTGTCGTCTAAATTAGGTGTCACTAGTTAAAAAAGGCGTCTGCTGAAAGATTTGGAACAGAAGAAGATGGCCACTCCGAAAGAGAGCAGCTGTAATACAGAGTCACCAGCAGCCCTGGAGGAGGCCAAGGTAAGCTCCCACCCTCCCAACCACCTGAGTACCCTGAACATGGATCTTGCACCTGAGATCCTAGCTGCTTGTCTCAGATGTGTTGGTAAATTTGGAAAACTGGTATTTTTAATGTGTCCCTACTACGTGCTAGGCAATAGGGCAGATGCTAAATCTGTACTATCTCATGAAATCCTAATGACCCTTTCACATAGGAATTATTTTCCCCATTCACAGAAGCTAAGGTTCTGAGAGCTGAAATACCTTTTCCAGAATCATGTCTATAAGCAATAGACCAGGGTTTAAATTTAGGGCCTTCTGACAACAGAACCTTGCCTTGATCTCAAGGTTAAAGAAATTGGTTGAATGTTTTTATTTTGTCCAGGCTAAAAACTACATCTGAAACTGGAAGAAGAGTTTTTGGTTTATAATTTGGAATGGAGGTGGGTGATAAGATGTAACCCAGGAGAGAGGAGAGAGGCAGATTGTATCAGGCCCTCAGAGAATGCCACCTTCTGACCTGGCAACAGGAGCCCATGCCATCCCAGCCCATGCTCTCTCTCTTGCTACCCTACCTTATCCATTCTTCTCCCCTAGTCCACAACTCCCTATAGATGAGGAGGAAACTTAAGGTGGGAGTCAGAAGAGCTTCTGAGCTACCTTGCCTACCCACTTCAGTGTTTCCTGGCTTTATTGAGTTTGGAATTCATCCTATGACAGGGTTAGAAGGTTCAAAGAGGGCAAATGACTCACTCAAGTGACACAACTTATCTGTAGAACTGGTGGTGGTGGTAGAAGGACAAGTGTTCAGGGGAAGACAGCAGTTAGGGCTGGGGGCAGGGCTGGCTTGGGTTGGGGGAGGATCATTAGGGGACATTTACTGAGGGCTGGGAGCAAGTGAGTGATTGTGCACAGCAAACAAGCCAGTCTGCCTTGGAGTTCCTGGTGGACTTGATTTTCCCAGGTGGGTCAGCAGCTCTGTCTCAGTTGGCTCAAGTCACTGGTAGAGACAAGGCTTATCACTCACGTAATTGGTGACCTCCCCCACAGGTGAAGTAACACAACAAACACTATACACACACACAAACACATACATGTACCCAATATACCGCCTTTTCCCTGAAATTCTCTTCAGGGTCTCCAAAATGCACATAATATACCCCCAACTCTTACAGGGCTGCATACACCATGTACCACAGTACACACCCTATGCTGTTAGGGACCTATTCTCAGATGTCTCTGAACCATGTTGTATATTGTAAAACAACATACTAATGGTAGTAGTTATTATTAGAAATACCCAAACCACAAACTTAGAGCAATTCATTCCCCATCTCCACACTCAGTACTCCCACCCTCACCACAACAGAGATAAACAGATGCCCTAAACATGCACACACTCTGACAGATGCTTTCCACCTCCTAGATAGGGTCCAGAACTCTCTCACTGCAGACTGGAGGTTGGCCCTCTCTCTCCTTGGTTAGGACCTCTTTCCTGCCATTCATATAGAAGAGTGATACCAACTTCTGCCTGGAATAAATACACTCAGTTTTCTTTACCCTAGAAGGATAGAAAGGAGAGTCTTATTTTCCAATGTCTTTTGGATCCCCCTATCTTAGAAGCTTTAGGTCATTTAACAGCTATTTATTGAGCATTTACCTTGTGCTGTGCATAGGGATACAGCAGTGAGTTGAACAGACAAGACACATTCTCATGGTAAGAAGATGGATAGTAACTGGTCACATGCTAAATGCTGTGTGTTAACTGTGTGATATAATAGAGAGTCACTGGGGAGGAAACCTAGGGGAGGCTACTTTAGATAGGATGGTCAGGGGGGGCCTCTCTGAAGAGGTGACATTGGAACTGAGCCCTAAAGGATAAAAAAGAGTCAGCCATGTGAGTAGCTGGCAGCCGCATCAGCTGCATGATTTGTGGGGTCCAGTGCAAAAGGGCTCCTTGTTCAAAAATTATTAAAAAGTTCAAGACAGGGACAGCATTAAGCCGAGCATGGGGACGTTTCTGAACATGGGCCTCTGTGCAATTGCACAGGTCACCTGCCGTGAAGCCAGCTCTGTCTAAAAGACAAGCTTTCTAGGAAGAGGGAAGAGCATGTGCCATTTAGGCTTCTGATCAAGCAAATGCATCAGGAGCCATCTTCCACGCCAGTTTTCTCCCTCCCCTACTTCATTCATTCAGACAGTATTTATGGAACGCCTACTCTGTGCCAGGCAATAAAATTACAGGGTGAGATACACAGGCAACATTCCTGCTCTCACTATAAGTTTACTCGGAGAGGATTGGGGGGCAGACAGTGGATAGGTAAGCTGGTAAACAAATGGTTGCAAAAAGGTGAGAGGCTAGAGAGGAACCAAGTTAGCCGGGTGTGGGAAAGTTGGCTTCAGGCTTGGGGGACAGGACAGGCTGTATGTGATCCAACCTCCCTTCTCCACTCTCTTTAGACCTTTAGTGCTCCAGGGAGCCCCAAAACACTTCTTGAGCCTCTTGACTCTGGTGGTTCCCTGCCCCTGACACCCCGGATGGAGAGCCACTCAGAGGATGAGGATCTTGCTGGGGCTGGCAGTGGCCTGGGCTGGAATAGTAGGGGTCCCCAGACCCAGAGCCCAGGAGCCTGCTCAGCAGAGGCAGTGCTAGGCCGGAAGAAACACCGTCGGCGGCCATCAAAGCGCAAGCGGCACTGGAGACCCTACCTGGAGCTGAGCTGGGCCGAGAAGCAACAGCGAGATGAGAGGCAAAGCCAGAGGGCCTCGCGCTTCCGCGAGGAGATGTTCGCCAAAGGCCAGCCCGTGGCACCCTACAACACCACCCAGTTCCTGATGAATGACCGAGACCCAGAGGAACCCAACTTGGATGTGCCCCATGGAATCTCCCACCCAGGCTCCAGTGGGGAGAGTGAGGCAGGGGACAGCGACGGGCGGGGCCGAGCTCAGGGTGAGTTCCAGCAGAGGGATTTCTCTGAGACCTATGAGCGCTACCACACGGAGAGCCTGCAGGGCCGCAGCAAGCAGGAGCTGGTACGAGACTACCTGGAGCTGGAGAAGCGGCTGTCTCAGGCTGAGGATGAGACAAGGAGGCTGCAGCGGCTGCAGGTGTGCACCGGCCAGCAGCCCTGTCGCCAGGTGGAGGAGCTGGCTGCTGAGGTAGAGAGGCTGCGGACTGAGAACCAGCGGCTTCGGCAGGAGAATGAGATGTGGAACCGAGAGGGCAGCCACCGCAATGAGGAGCTGGGCACCTAGTGGGACCCAAGGAGAAAGTCCTATTTCATGCCCACTCAGGCCAGCTGGGTTTCAAGGAGGCAGGTGGCAGATGAAAACCACTCTCAGCACTCTGTGTCCCCTGAGAACAGCAAAAATAGGTTCAGACTTCCACCTCGTCATTTCCACAATTGGTTCTTCAATGTCACTACTTTTTACAGAGAAATTAAACGGTCTTGGTGAGACCAAATGGGAGTGGCTAGGATTGATTTCGCTAGGGCTGTTCTGAGAATCAAAACATTTATATGAGGTCTGAGTCTCCCCTTACCCCAAGCCTGGGAGGACAGCAGAACTCTGGGTGGAGACCTATCAAGGTCTCCAGGATACCTGAATTCTGTTCTGTGTATCCTGGAGCCACCAGACTTTTCTGAAGGTTTTTTAGGTGGGAGGAAGCTCAGTCAGGAGGCCCCAGTTTCAGCCAGAACCTGACACTCAAGATGCCAGATCGCTGTGAGGAGTGGGGAGCTTCCCCTGGAGAAGAGGGAACTGGGGCTTTGGGACAAGGCCCAAGCCCAGGAGCTCCCTATAATCTCCCCACAGTATAGGGGCTACACAAGGTCTGAGTGCCTTGTACCTCTCTGTCCTTGACAGTCCCCCATCCCCACCCCTCCCAGCAAGGGGTTAAGCCTGAGGTTAGTCATCAGGAGTTTGTCCCTTATCTCACAGAATGACACTTAGAAGTAAGCACTCAAGGCCAGGCTTGGTGGCTCACGCCTGTAATCCTAGCACTCTGGGAGGCTAAGGCAGGAGCGTCACTTGAGGTCAGGAGTTTGAGGTTGCTATGATGATGCCACTGCACTCTAGCTGGGGCAACAGAGCAAGACTGTCTAAAAATATATATATATATACACACACACACATATATATATATACAGCAGGAGGATCGCTTTAGGTCAGGAATTCGAGACCAGCCTGAGCAAGAGCGAGACCCCACCTCTACTATAAATAGAAAGAAATTAATTGGCCAACTAAAAATATATACAAAAAATCAGCCAGGCATGGTGGCACATGTCTGTAGTCCCAGCTACTTGGGAGGCTGAGGCAGGAGGATCGCTTGAGCCCAGGAGTTTGAGGTTGCTGTGAGCTAGGCTGACGCCACGGCACTCACTCAGCTTGGGCAACAAATCGAGACTCTGTCTCAAAAAAAGAAAAAAAAACAAAAACAAGGAAGCACTCAAGGGAAGTAAGTATTGTCCTGATGGAAAATAAAGCTAAGAGGCATAGGAGGGCAGTGCCTGGTCCTCAGCAGAGTTGGTCTGCCTGGCTTTCCTGGATCCTCTAGGCCTCTCCGAGCACCCTGCTCCTGTAGCCTCTTCGTGTGTGTGTGTGTGTGTGTGTGTGTGGTTCATTCTCCCTGCAGTGTGTGAGTCCGCACCTCTGTAACACAGAGCTGGGTCAGCCTGGATAATACAGATACCAACAACCTGTACTGGGCTCTGACACCCTGTTTCTCCCATCACCCTCCTGGTGCCTTTGCTGGCCGGCATCGGGTGTCAGTCAGCAATGTGGATAACTTTGGTGATGATGGAGGAAGTTAGTCAACTCACTGATGAGCCTGTGTTGGCACTGCCATCATGCACAGGGAGGGCGGGGGCCTGGCCGCCTAGCCTGGCTTCCATTCTGGGCACTCATCTTGACAGGCCACAGGGGCAGGAGAAGGCCCTGGCCTGGGAGCTGCTGGGGATGGAAATGTTGACAAAATCCTGTGTGTTGCCAGGACAACTTTTGTTTCTGCCCTGCCACACCCAGGCCTGGCTTGCGCCTTCAACAAAGCACTGCAAGAACAGATTCTAGGAAAGGATGGGTGTCAGGAGAAAGCAAAGTCCCGCCTTGGGGAATCTGTCCCTGGAACTCTGGCCCAGGGCTTTTTCCTCTTTCCCTTTGCTCCCCAGACGGCAGTGTCAGGAAGGGCAGCAGGAATGATTGTCCCCACTTTGCAGATGGGAAGCCCAAGGCTCAGGGAGGAAGTGGCTTTCCAGATTCCAGGAGAGCCACTGGAGGCCTGCCTTCCCCTGTGGGGTAATTTAGGGACCCAAAGGCCCATTGGCCTGTGCAGGCAGCCTCTCAGCTGGTGCATTCCTTAGCATGCAGCCTGGAGGGTGAGAGGAGGCCAGGACAAAGGTTGTTTACCCAGAGGCGCTTTTGTGTGTGTGTTGCCAGTTTCTAGATTCCAGAGGGCCCCTGGGGCAGGGGTGTAGGCAAGGGTACTGGGGGTGTGTTGTGGGCTGGCCCTGCTAGAAGTGAGCAGGTGAGGAGTTTGGCCCTTGGTGGCCCAGAAGCTGAGGAGCCTGGAGACAGGAAATCTGTCAGCTGTTCCTCCCAGCCCATCCCCCCCCACATAGAATGGCTGAAGGGCTCTTGGCCGGGGCAGCACTGAGATGGGTTAATTTTCCCACAGCTGGTGGGGACTGGTGGGGCAAAAAGAAAACAGAGAGGGTGTGAGCTGGGAAAGTGTCAAGGGGGCTGAATGGGAGAGGTTCCTGGCAGCCCTACCTCCATCTGGTCCCCTGGCCCCAGCACCTGTCTCCAACCCCAGGGTGAGAGATGTGCAGGGAGATCATCCTGGGGCTCAGCTAGGCTTCTGCTCCACCCATTGCTGTGATGGACGCCCCAGTTTACAGCACACACCCTGAGCCAGGGAGGATGGGCTTGGACACAGCCTCCTAGGCCTCCTCTAGGCCTTTCCAGAGCTTCCCTTATGCCTTACTCCCATTTGCGTTTTAGAACCCTCTTGGTCACCTGGGCCAGGGGAGGGAGGCCTAGAGTGGTTGCTGAAGCTTCCCACGACCCCTGCCTAGCCCACCCTAGAATCCCTTTCAGGGACTCCCTGACCTCAGGTGAAAACTCCTGTGCCCAGTGGACAGAATCTCTGTACAGTGTCATCACAATGAGAAGCAGTGGGGCAGGCAGAGGTTGATAGGGTGGGTCAGGAGGAGGAAGTTGCCAGCAGGGGGGAAGCGGGTGTGAGGTGAAGTAACTCTGTATGGGGGAGAAGGTGGCCAGGTCCCATTGCCCTGTTGGGAGCAGGCAAGGATGGCACTGGCCCTTTAAGTGGGGGTGCCAGGCAATGCCCTCCCCCAGCCAACCCAATTCATGGGCACACTGAGCATGTGCAAGAGCTATGCAAGTGGGGAGGGGAGGGAAGTGGGGGGGATAGATTCTGGAGGGAGCTTCTTATCCCCCTACTTCCGGTAGCTGCCCCCACTCTCCTTCCTGGGTCTGACAAAGGAGCCCTTAGTGTTCACCCAATCCCATCCCCCCCACCCAGACCCCAGGGGTGCTGCCCTCTGGGAGTGCTGAAGCCCACAAAGGATGCCCTGGAGAATCTACCCTGCCTGGAGGTGGCACACACTCAGCCCAGTGCCAGCCTCACTTCCCTGGTGTGGGTGGAGGCTAATCTTCCTGCTGCTTAACATGTTTGATTTCATTCCATTGGTGCCGGGGTTTTAAAAGAACCATCTACCTGTGATGCTGCTCAGAAAACTAAACAGCTAAAAAGCATGATGTCCCTGCCCCCACCCACCAGGAGCTTCCAGTCTGAGAGGAAGCAAACAGCCAGAGGCTGCAAGTGCCTTCCCCAACTCCTTCTCCCTCTGGCCCTGGGATGAAAGTCTGTTTCCTCCACCAGCAGCAGCCCCAGGCCCCCTTCCCTCAAACCTTGCCCCCACAACAAACTTACCTGATCTGCCACATCCCCCTGTCCCCCAGCCCTCAGCCCCTCCTGCACCTTGCTTGCTCTCTTAGCACTTGCCCTCTTTCCTTCTTCTAACCTCTTAGCTACAGGTACCATTATATATATTTTTTGTATTGGATGTACAATTCATGTAACATGAAATTAACCCTTTAAAAGTGAACAATTCAATGGCATTTGTACATTCACAATGTGTGTGATCTCCACCTCTGTTTCATTGCAAACATTATCACCCTGAAAGGAAACCCTATATCCATGAAGCAGGTACTCCCCATTCACCCTTTCCCCAGCCTGGCAACCACAATCTGCTTTCTGTCTCTGTGGGTTTACTTATTCTGGATATTGTATAGATGAGAGGGGAAGACTCTGGTCTCCTGGTACCTGTGGAGGGAGCACTGGACCAGGAGTCCTGAGACCTGTGATCTGCTTCTCACTCAGGGGCCCCCTTTTCTCATTTGTTCAAGGGGGTGGGGGGCTTCAGGCCAGTCTAGGATCCTGGGCCAACCAGGGCCTATCCCTGGCCAGGAGGCTTCTGCCTGGAACTGTGCTTCCTTCCCTGAAAAATATGCTCCTCCTTACAGGTCCAGGCAGTGAAGGTGCCCCAGGGGACAGTGTGATTGATGCTGTGGGATTTGGGGTCAGATACATGAGATGAAGAAACTTGGGATCAGAGAGGTTGGGAAACTTGCCCAAGGCCACACAATTCTTGCTGTGCTGGAGTTGCAGCCGGTTCTCTCTGATGGTAGTTTGAGCCCTTGACCATTGTGCTCTCTAGTCTTCAAAGAGATAAAACAAGTTAAGGGCTTAGCAAAGTGCCAACTGTGTGGGAGGTGCTCTCAAATGGAAGCAGCCATAAATTTTACTACTTTCAGGGCATTGCATAATCATGAATAGCTCCATTCCAAGGTGGTTTTTGGGAGTTCTCACTCCCCCTTCCCTTAACTTTTGTGAGGGTTTCCTCTTTGTGGTCTCTACTGGCTTCTCTAAGATGACAGCTTTTGTCTGAGCTGGGAGGGGCTGCCTGGATGCTGAACCCCTGGGGCAGGTAGGATGGAGAGTACTGTCCCTCTCCCCACAAAGGAGGAGGATATGTTATTGTGTCTGTCCCCCCAGTCCCTAGCTGAATTTGTCCATTTCTCTCCATGGCTGAATCTCTACCCCTGCCCCTCAAACAGGAAGTCCTTTGTGGGCCCAGAGAAGGGAGGGGACAACACAGGCTTTGCCTGGCAGGGGGACAGGCTGAGCAGCTGGCCCCCAGTTGGCCACTGTGTCCCTGCAGCCTGTGGTCATGGACATTCCAGAGACCACCTGCCCCAAGACCCTCTCTGGACCCCATCTAAGATGGAACACCCCCAGACCAGGCCTCAAGGCACCTGCTGTGTCCTGCCTCAGAGCAACTGGCATGGCCCCCCTCTCTTGCTCCTCCTTATCCCATGGCTCCAGGAGGTAGTTCCCCAGGAGACTAAGTTGTGAGGAGGACATTGTGACCCACATGGGCCCCCAG